GAACTCAGATATGGAGAAGACACCTGAAAAGGCTCTGTCATTTCTGCTGAGAGTAAAGCCACTCCTGTTTAACACTTTAACGGGTGTTTGTCAAAGACCATGCTGGACTAGTAATTGGGGGCAGGATTAAAGTAAACATCTATATTTTCTCAGGAATAACCACAAAGACTGCTGTTTTCATAACCCTGGCTTGTAATCTCCAATTTAAGATGCTGAATCCTATTCATTCTCCCTTTCAAAATAATACAGTCCTTATTTTAAAGCAAGTGCTCTCACACACATCTAGTGTCACGTTGCCTCTACTCCTAATATAATATCAGTCTTAATTAAGTTAACAAAAAGGTTTCAAAAAAGGCCCAGAAATTACACCACAACAGCATTAGGGGAAGTTAGAACACCTGATACTAGAAAAATTAAACCCGTTTTGCTCTAGCTCCTCTTGCTTAGCTCTATATCACCATGAAAATGTTTTAAATTTCAATTGTTGCTTTTTCAGAACCAGCGCTAGTTTTTTTCAGATCTGGCTTTTTTAAATATAATAATCTATAGCAGGTATTAAGCATACATTTTAAATGAACCCACATTTCTGTATGTTTTCCTATTGGTCTTGTAATGTTATTTTAAATATCATATTGTCAATACTCTAATTTCCTAAATTTTTTAAGGGAATAAACATGGAGCTAACAGTTTTTGCTAAAGCTTACCTTGTTGACTGGTACTAGGGTATAATAATAGGGATTCATCCAGGTGTGTCTGGCCATTGTTGTCATGGTTACTGAGGTCAGACGCACCTTGATTAATCAGTTTGTCCAGCAATGAAACAAAGGAGAAGGCTGAAGTTCAGGAAGTAGTGGAGCTGTGCGTAGAGCCCATTTAAGCTACATTAGTTTGAAATGCCAATTCAGTTGTTACTGTTTTAAAACAGTGATGTCAAGTTTAACAAAATTTATTTTATTTTAATTTTTTTTTTTGCTTTACACATTCAGTGAAATCCATTCTGTTCCAAATACAAATAACCACTCATGACAGAAAGACAAAAATGCAAAATAATGAATCAAAGGTAATGAAATAAAATGAAAAATTATGCAGTTTATGATATAAGTGCACTTTGAGGTGGGAAAAAAAAATCTCTGCGAAATGTTCAAATAAATCCCTTTATCTTTAAATTAATGACAACATCCCTGGTTTTCAATGGATCCTTTTAAGATCACAGTGTGCGATCCAGCTCAAGACTTTCGGACGTGTTGCTCTTGTTAATCCCATCAGTTAATACTCTCTGGAACGCCACTACAGGAAAGGCAAATCAAATCAAATCCAACCAAGCAAAATCTCATCAGACAGATGTACCAACCAATGACACCGATAAATCAATCTAACTGTAAAAATATAAGAACACACACCAGTATGCACATACACACACTTTCTGATCAAGGCCTGAAGGCTTTCATGTAATAATCACCTTTGGGAGTGTTAAGCATGGAACGCCCACTGTGTCTGTGCATTCATTTAATACACCGCCACACAGCCAGTTATAAACAATACTTCTGGCGGAGCATTTTTTAACTAAATCTGATGCTAATAAATAAGGTAAACTCCAGTTAATATTTAAAGCTAATCATAGCCACAGAGCTGGAGAACAGACAAAGATAGATTGCTGCCCGCCGGGGCAAAGAGAGAGCTTTCTAATGGATGATCCCAGTAGACTGAGGTCTCCACTTTCCTCAGATTTTAATTCAAAAGCTCTTGTTCTAAAACAATATTCTCACAATCCCAGCTGAAATCAGCCATAATTAACCTAGCAAGCTTTTGACAAAAGCCGTACAACCATTTGTAAATAGATGACAAAGGGAAGGAAAAAAATGAGAAAGCCTCAAGATCATGTGCCAGGGTAAACCAGAGCAAAAATATTCTTACATACTTTAGAGCCATCCAAACAAAGTCACATGATGAGGCCTTTAAATTTTCAATGAATGACATCATGCTAACCATCAAACAAATGGGTAGTTACTGTAGGAAATTAGTATTATTCAATGTTTTTTGTGCTCTGTATATTCTCAAAAGGTCTGGTAACAGGAAAGCTGCACCAGATGTTGGTAACTACCCAGGTTATATAAACATACAAGTAAATAAACGACATGCTACTTCATTATGTGAGTTATATTTGATAAAGTGGAACACAGTTGTTCAAGTGCAATGTGTTTAAAATGTAGGAAAAAACAGCTTTTTAAAGATGAGTTGTGTATTGAAAATAAGTCCCGTGCATCGCTAGAGTATCAGCCTCAGTTCCCTTCAACAGAATTTTACAGAGATTCAAGTCTTTATTTTCATCTCTGAAGCCAATTAATTCATTTGGCTGGATGTGCAGTCCACCCTCGTATTATCCTCAAGACTGCCTGAGAACAATTTGACATTAATACTTCATTTATCAGTCTGCCAATATAGGGTGACAAAACGGCCCACAACATGATGCTCCTACCTCCAGAGTTCCTGGTTGGTGGGGTTTCTTTTGAATGATATCCGCTGCTATTCCTCCAACAAAAACCTGCCGTATGTACAGTAGTGATGTCCAAGGTTTTAATTCTGGTCCATATGACTTTACTAGACTCTCTGCTTATTCTATCAGCTTATTTAAATGTTTAGCAATAAGCTTTTAGTTAAATCTAATGCATATTTTCTTTAGTTACATGGTCTTTGCATTTGAATGGATTAGATATTGTTTTATTGACAAACTTAAAGTTATTAATTCCAGGTCTTTGCAAAGATGTGGTAATTGATTTTTGAAGTTACTTCTTTATTTATTTTTATGACCGCTGTTTCAGAAATCATGAAAGAAAAACCCTGATTTCAGTAGATTAATTAAGAAATTTTGTGGGATTTCTGAAAATAATAACTAGATTTTAGAAATAAATCTGCAATCAATGCCAGTAGTACGTTTTGCACCATAAGAGTTAGAAAGGAGAAACCATCACATTTCAGTTAATATTTTTACTTTCTATGCATGGTTGCGATTGGCTTTGTCTTTTTGTTAAATACTTATTTCTTTTATTCATCAACAATGCTTACATAAGTACTTATTTGTTTATTAAAATTCCTTCGCAATCATAAGTATTTGGCATCTTGACTGACATGATGTTCATTTCATACCCTTAGCTTGATCAGAAATGAATTTAAACAGAGGAGTTTTGGGATTTTTAATAAATTAATTTACAGATTTCTGATAATATTCTTGTTTGGAAAGATATTTTAGGAAAGAGGTTGATTCATATTTCACAAAGAGAATGTGCAGCAGTGGTGGAGGGAAATGGAAGGGTGGAAGGAGGCATTAGGAATGTGGGAATCCAGCTATGTCATGCTGGATGTAGTAGGGATGGGGGGGGGGCACAAACTCGCCCATAACATGAATGTTAAAAAAAAAAAAACGGAGGGACAGATGTTTTCCCATAGTGTCAGTGTCTGTCCAGCTACTTTCCAACTGACTCCTCTTACATAACCTCCTCCCCTCTTATTTTTAAGGCTTCCGTCTTTGTTTATTGGTTTATTTCTCTCACTTTTCAACCAAAAAATCTTATCACATTTGCACCATACTAACCCCTAATAACTCATCCAAAACTAAAGCTTTTGGCTGTAAAACACTATAGCTGCTGTTGCACTAAAGGAGCAAAAAACAAACCATTTTAATCCAGGGATAAAATTATTAACAAGAGGAATACAAAAATGCATTTGTTCTCCTTACTGATACAGATTCAGCTTACTCAAAAGGAATAAAAAATGCAATTGTTTTAGTCTTATTTGATTGAGATTTAACCAATTTACAATATGAATACAATACCGAATGAATGTGCTGCATGTGAGGGATTAATTCCACTAATAATCACTAAAATCTCCATGCTAGCAATAATTGCTTACATAATTACATTTACTGCAAGCTTTCAAACATGTGAAACATGGATCAATCCTGCTTGGTCCGAATAACAGAAACATACATATTCTGTTTCATCTCATGTCCCTAAAGCTGAAATCCTTCCTCATCAGCTGTAATCTACTAATATCAGCAAGGTCGTGGCTCATATGAAGGCTCCATTTTCTATTGGCCTTCTGTATTTCAATTTTATCTTTCAGGACAACAGTCGGACATAACAATGAGCAATCCAAGCAATGCAGATGGTTTCACTTGTCGCAAATGCAAGACACCATAAACACATACTCATGCACAGTGAAAGCCATTTCTTGAATCTCATGCTCTCCAAGCTGCCCTTCCCCCACCCTGAGATCACTCTCATTCTCACATGCGTGCACCTTGATTAATTAACGGCTGAGCCTCTGAAGCTGTTCTGACCTTTTCTTAACCCACATTTATATACACACGTTAACAAATGGCACTAACGGAATCAAAATGGAGCCCGCTAGGAACAAGAAACGGTTTTCCTTCATTCTGTGCAACATGTAAAACATGCAGTGTTTAGAAAGAGCTAGGTCTCTATAATAAGGCTATCTCATTATAGGGAGGTTGTTTTAATCACTAGGCCTGCCTAATGAAAACAACCCTGGTATCAAACATCGATTTCAGTATCAATTTGCTAATGAGACTTTATCCCTTACTCAACTGATCAGCAACAAATCCATATTTCTTTCATCTAATTTTGAAAGTCAGACACTAATTACATTTTAAATATAAATTTCAAAGCATGAAAAAAAAGGCAGTATCCTGGTGGCCTGTAGCGTCTGCATCAGTGTAAGCCTTTGGGAACCCGCAGTAGGTGTGCTAAATCTATAGGTATTAGTCATCTGCATTAGTGCCATACATCCAGATCATCTCCATGTACTGAAACCAGATTCAACACGTTCCAACAGAGGAACCAGAGTCAAAAGATATTTAAAAGGGGCGTCTTGACTAACTAACTAGCAAAGGTGGCTAAGAGTAGACTCACTTTTATTTTTCACTATTACAGCAGCTTATGTGATCTCTAGCAGACCCCAACAGAGTGAGCAGGAAGGTTTACCTGGTCATACCACTCCCGGTTGGTGCAGGTGCACTCAGGCCACCATCCTCCTTGTCCACTGGAGTTGTTGCCATTTACTTTGGGTCCACCCTTGGACTGGCCCTTTGGGTTGGGGCCTCCGGGGCCTCCACCAGACATAATCTTGCCCTTACTTCTCCCCAAAGTGCCACCTCCTCCTCCTCCACCACCACCTCCTCCACCTCCCATGTTTCCACCCCCTCCTGAGGCTGGAGGGGGTAAGGTCTGTCCTCCCCCATACCCAGGTGGGTATCCATAGGGCTCGGCCTGCCAGTCTCCTCCGTAAGCCGGGGCATCCATCCTGCGCAGAGCTGCCATACGGGTCACCTCATAACATTCTGGGCACTTGCAGCAGTGGTGGTGTTTGTGCATGCTGGCTGTGCTGGCTGGGCTGACGCTGAGATGAGCGGCGTGGCACTCGGTCTCTGCTGCCTCCTCAGATCTCACACGGCACGCTGTGATCGGCACACAGAGCACTTACGCCGAAGGAAATAACACAAATCACTGGAATTTGTACAGATTTCCCTTCTTTTTTCGTTTTTTTTCTCTTTTTTTTGGTCAAATCCGGCTGTTCCCCGCCTTATTCCTCGTGGACGAAGAGAAAAAAAAAAGGCTGAAACTGAGACAGATGGGAAGCAGCAACAGAAAAACAAAAATACAAAATGGGCACGTAGTCTTTGTCCTCTTGACGTAGAAGATCAAAGGAAATATTTAAGATATTGTATGCCACCACGCAATCAGAGACCAGCCCTGATGATAGAAATTATAGAAATTTCTTCTTGCTTCTCTTGGCTCACAGTGATACGCATATAAATTCATAGATATATAGATTCTTTTGTTTATATATCATATATATTTACACACACAAATACATATAAAAATATTAATATAAACAGACGAGCACAAATACGGATATGTACAAGGATAAATGTATATTTATATATATAAATATCTATATGCGTGTGTACAAATATATATATAGATATATAAACAATATGTATAAATAAATGATATCCGCAAATGAAAATCTTCCTTTGTTGATTTTGTATCTTCTTGATGTGTCAAAAAAAAATCTCACGTTTTTTTTCTTCCTCCTGCGTTGAAAATCGTTGCCTTTCGCTCTCTGTCTCTTTTCCCAGCCTGCAGAGAGGAGCTGAGCGCTGGATCGCCTCTCAGTCAGCTTGCCCTAGATGTGGATTATTCAGAGAGATGCGAGGAAGCAAGAGGGAGGTTGGTGAGAGAGAATGGGAGGTGGTGGTGGTGGGGGGGGATCGGGATACGTAGCAGCATCCTTCTAGCAGCTCAGTCCTGACAGCCACAGCCAATCAACTTGCAGCGTTACCATCAGCAGCAGCAGCACCAACAGGACTGAGCGCTTCACTAGCTGCCTCTTAAAGGGCCAGCGACATGGATGCCTCACTGCTGCCTGCCTTGGGTGAGGAGGCACTTCTTTATGAAGTACGCCATGGTAAAAGAAAAAAAAAAAGCATGACAAACGTTTGTTTCCTTGATATTTTAAGAGAAAGAGCAAGGGAGTCGTAATCCGCAATCAGTCAATGACGACCCCAGACAGTAATCCATCAAAAGAGAGTTTAATCCATGTTTTTCATCAGGCCAGTGCAGCCAAAATCCAACTTACAATGACCACCCCTGTCCCTCCAACTGATCACTGGCTGCCTCCTCCGGTCATCTCTAGTTCAGCCACAGACTTAGCGGCTGGCCTGTGCTGTGCTATCAGTGGCATTCCTCAGGCTCTCTGCCACAGCTCACATCAATGAATAACCTCACAGTAGAAGTATCACTGTGTATTACTTTTACTAGTAGCGGGGAAATTCAAGTGTACCAGCAGCAAAGAGGCAGGCAATTCAAAGAATTTTGATCCACACAAAGGTACAAAAATAAGAAACAAAGTGAGAATAAGAGACTGTAGAGTATGTGCAAATGAACAGGATAAGAAAGTGCAGTTATTCAAATCAATTCAAATACATGTCAGAATAGGCTGCTCTGCAACAGCTTCATGCATGGGCTGGGAAACGGTCTAAAAGTGACGATATTCTTGTCTCTCAGCACCTGCAGTGAGCTAAGGAGGCATCCTGGGACAGAGCTGGCCTTCTCGATGAATCTAATCTAACAGTTTCCTCTCAGCTGTAGAGAAGCTGCTGCTTTAACAGTCTTCATCCCCCCCCCCACTTTTTCACTGCGGGTTGTTGTTGAATAATTTTCCCGCTCATGTGCAAGGCTCGGTCAAAATAAGCTCAGCGGAAGAAATCTGCCCTCGTGGAGCCTGGTTTAGAAACCGTTGGGGAATTATTTCAAGTTCACAATGATGACATCAACGCATGTGTACCAAACCAATAAGATTACACGCTTTGGCTTTCAAGTGGGTGGAGGAAGAGACTGAGAGTGTGAATGTGTAAAGGGAAAAGAAGAAAAGGAGAGCATACATGGCTTTCATGTTACTGTGGCAGTTAGATTTTTCAGTAATTTGATAGGACTGCCTGTGAGCCATTTTACATGCTAATGAATTTATGGTTTAATTCTAATATGAAACATCTCGATATGGAAAGAGAAGGTTTGTCTTTAGAGGGAGCTGGTGGAAAGTGTTACACTGTCGCCATTAAAGCCCTGTACGTATGTATTATTAATGAAATGTGATGGGGAACAGAGCAGGGTGTGTCATTGTGGGGTAGAGTGTGTTTAAATGTAGCCTTGCACGTTATCAAATCAAACTTAAATAAAAAGCTTTTCTCGTTGTATGCACAGTTAAGGCAAACGTTTCCCTGTTCAAAGAGTGACTGTACTTTCAACATTGAATGTCAATTAAAAAAAATATAAAATAAAATAAGCCTGCTGTAAGTACAATAGTAATATAATAAATAGCTATGCAGAAAAGAGCATCAGCTTGCAACATTATCTGTTTTTTATATCATGGGGCTTATAATAAAACAGTGCACCTTTGCTATGTTTCAGCTTTAAATTTAACATCAGTTTAGCATTCTGATCAAACTAAAAAAGGATCTTAGTATGAAGCTTTGCTGCATTCTGTAACAACCCTTCTAAGAGACTCACACAGCAGGCTCAGCCACACTTAATTACATGCAACAGTAACTCACTTCTTTCTAATGATATTCTTTCACTCCATCCTAGTCTCACCACCAGGAACTGCAATCCAATACAGAAGCAAGGAACCTCTAAATGCTTCAGGATGAGGCCACAAACCCCTCTGAGGTCAATGAGGGTGGTGAGGTAGAGCTTTGAAGCAAACGATGGAAGCACATCAATCCAGACACACACCTGACCGCTTACATACTGAAACTAAACCTTCCCACTTTTATTCTATGGCTATAGTCAGGGCAGTCAGAATGCGTAAATAAATAAACTGAACCTAAGATACTGATTTGCATTATTAAGAAAAAAACTTGAAATGAAAGCAGGGAGTGTCTTCTTATAATATTATCTATATGAGCGACAAATTTGTAAAGCTAAAAAGAACAGGGTTGTATATTATACAGCAAAGGCAAACTTTAGGTTTGAACCAAGGCTTAATGATAATCCTGATAATTATTTTTTCAGTTATACCCTATCAAGAGTTACAACTGGACTAAGGATTGTTCTGATAATAATCATTAAACAACGAATTAAGAAGTAAAACGTTAAATTCATATATCAGCTCCAATTTAAGACAGATGCATTAAAAAAAAAGGATCAGAGTAAAAGTTTTAAATAAAAGCTCAATACCACTGATTGTTTAACATTAAATATCCAAAATGAAGAGAACAATGAGATCGGTTAATTATTGCTGCTGTTTTTAATCTTTATAGTAGTGGTAATGCTGCCAAAATGTTTAAAACCTAAATTACCCAAAATAAGATGGAAATAAATATACTTAAATAACAATTTTTAATTAATTGCAATAGAATAGAAAATAATGTAACTCATAGAATTAAATAAAGAATGTAAATAAATCTCAAATAGGTTAAATTTATATAAAATTAAATACAGTCAAGTGTAATTAAACCTAGGTGAACGATTCATCCATCTAACTTATATGCAAGTTCAAATTATATTATATTAATGTAACAGCCAGAGGGCTTAATCAATACTTTTTATTTTGAATAAATGTGCGTTCTGAAAATCTCCTTGGCAAATTAAAAAGATGCATTCAATTAGGAGACTCTCAGTATACCACCTTGCAGTTCCTTTAACACCATCAGCTCAGCAACAGTCTGCACAGACCTTATTACATAAACCCACCTGGACATCCTGGCATAAACCCGCACACATACACATTCAGTTAATAACAAGTATTACAACCCCCAACCACTGCACAAACCGTGCATTGAGCTTTTCAGTCATTTCTAGGCATTTCTCTGAGAAGCTGTGTGACTGCTCCTTTGTCACCTGACCGGATGTAGGACCATAAAAGGACAGTCGGTAGTGAGGCAGTCTTAAAGTGGCAGGGTCCCAATAAAAATGGACTAGGCATCTCTGCTGTAGCATTTGATTATTGCAGGAATGATGAAGAAGCATGTTTTATATGTAGTTTCAATAGTAAAGGAACCTAAATATGCAACTCTACATTTAATACATGAAACCTATGTGGAAGTACGTAGAATAAGGTCTTAAATAAGGGGGTTAAATAACAAAATGAAATGCCAATTAACCAAAAACACTATTAAATAGGTTTTAGTTGCAAAAAAGAAAAAAATTAGAGGAAAAGGGCGAACGGAAAAAATGCCCACTAAGAGAAGCTAAAAAATAAGAGCTGAGAAATACTGTTTGTGCAAGCATAAAAGAAATGAAGCCAAAGGAGAAGAGCCATGAAAGGGATGCAAGTAGGTGGTAAAAAAGGAAGGTGAGGATATTCAGAAAAAGCATAAAGGTGCTGCAGGTCCATGACAGATACCACAGTGGAGAAGAGAAGAAGCTGAGGTGCCCTGTGTGTGGGCAGAAATGCAATTACTAGAGGGGGCTTTACTGAAGCATGGTGCTGAACAGAAGGGGAAGTAAAAATAGAGAGATGCAGAGAAAACAACAAAGTGCTTATGCATCTGTGAGTGCAGCGGAATGCTAAATAAACTGTAATTGCCCACTCACCCCGCTACAGACAAGTGCAACGCACCTGAAATCAGTGTGCTTGCTGAGTGTGCATCGTGGCAAATGTGTAAAGATGGTGTGAAATCAGAGCAGAAAGAAAGGAATAAAAAAAAAAACATTAACAGGAATTAAAAGAGGAATGGAAAAAGACAACATGAAAAACAGAGAAGCGAGGAGAGAGATAGAGGCAGAGCTGTCTGTAGGGATGCAAGCGGGGGAGGAATGTGGTTTCCATGGTAACTGGGGGGGAGCTCTGGGTGTCCGTTCCAGCTCCGCACTGCACCGGCCCTTGCCTCTCAACCGCCTTGCTATCCCTCTCCAGCCTCCCCCACCGCATCTTTCTCAATAGCCCCCCCCCTGAAACACACACACACACACAACCCCCTCGTCTCTCCTCCTTTCCCCTGCCTCACCTCCCTCCCCCAATGTGACAGTGGGAGGATCAAACATGCACACAACCTGTGCCGTCACTGGATTCTCATGCAGGCATTATCATCCATGCACACTGAACCCATGTGCTTACCGCCTGCACCCCCCTTGTTTTTTCACCCCTTCAACTCCCCTGATCTTCACGCCTACAGCCCTCCAGCCCCACCGCCGCTACCGACTCATTGCACTAGATCGGGGCGCAGCTGAGAAGCTAAGGGCCTGCGGCCACTGTGCTGCCATGAGCCACTGGCCGTGCTGTAATAGGGAACGCATGTGAACACAAGGGCCTGTAAAAGCACGGAGGAAAATGGCAGGCTGCTGAGACATGAAACAAAAAGATCAGGACTGATCCGATTACAAGTGTGAGCAGCATATTGGCCAGCCTCTGAAGAAACTGCTGAACATCTTGTTTATCTGGCAAAAAGTTGTTTCATCTGAGGCCAAAAGCAGCAGTTGAAGAAATTAGATCCTTCAGTTAAGCAAATAAACGTAAGAATGTGTTCACTATAGATGCTGTCATTCAATTTAAACTCTAGACAGAAATATTTAATGGAAAATCTTAAATAATCTGATTAAAAACGCCCCAAAAAGGAGACCCTCACATTTTTCAGTATTTAAAACAGATGAACAAGGAGTTTATCATTGTAAAGTTAAATAAAAATGTGTATAG